TAAATGGATCTATTTTATACCTTCCATTTCTCTCTTCATCATTACCATGCTTTCATTTATTATTATATTTATGTTAGTTTGTCTACTAATGCTATCATCTGTCATTCTGAGTCTGTTTCAATTGACTAAAGATTCTCCTGACAATGGACTGTATTTTCCTTCTTTATTTGCATGCCTGATCGTTTTTTATTAGATGATGATCATTGTGAATTCTACATTCTTGGTGCTGCTTTTATTATAGTTCTTTAAATTTTGAGTTCTTCCCCTCACCCCCCCTTGAATGCAGTTAAGTTATTTGGAATCAGTTTGATCCTTTCAAGTCTTGCTCCTTAGCTTTGTTAGGGCTGCTCCGGAGCAGCATTCAATCTAAAGCTATTCCCCTCCCCCCACTCCAGCCCCACCCCACTTCGGCAATACCTTGCTGAGGACTATACTCAATGATCCACATATTAAAAGGTCTTTCCAGTATGGTTGAAACACAAATTATTCCCAGCCTTTTTATGAGGTCTGACAAATTTTTCATCACTCCTTTCTCCTTTCCCCACTCTTGGGTAATTTTCTTCCTTGGATTTTCTTTTCTTCCTTTAAGGGGTATTACATTTTTATGTGACAGTTCAATTACTTAGGGATCACCTTGATTCTCTCAAGTCTTACTTCTAAGCTTTGATAAAGTTAGTACACTATTAGCCTTTACTAAAGTGCTGGTTTAGACCTTCTACAAAGGCATGGTCTTTCTGAGTCTCTATTCAATGCCCCACATGTTCAAAAGGTCTTTTCACTTTGGCTGGTTGGAATTCAAACATCTTCCAGCTCTGTGCAAGCTCTGAGAGTTTTTCATCTTACAACTCCCTAGCAGTTTTTCTTTTCACCTAATGTAGTACATATGCATCTAAGTCCATGTAGCTTTAAGCTAATACACTTTTCATTTTAAAAGATTTCTGTGTATATCTTCAGGAGCAGCAAGATAGACAAGGAATTGGGGGAACTGTATCCGACCCTAATATCAGTCTTTTGGAGAAGATAATTTAACTAGATGAATGGTGGCAGCCACCAAGAGGAAAGGAAAGCAGGCTGAGCTTCTGGGGACAATTGCAAGAAGAAAAAGAACATACAGAGCTGGTCTAGACCTCAAAAAATCTTCACTAAATCTAATCAAATAAAAAGATCCTTCTGAGGTTTCTCAATATCTATTGTAGACAATTCCAAGATGACCAGCTGGGACTCACAGTATAATGTGATAATGGGCCATCATTTTTCTTGGAGAAATAGGGGTTAGAACCATAGCCTTGACCTCATTACCCATAAATGTAAGCAATAATCTGAGTTCCCATATGCAAGTAGTTCAAATGCTTTGCAGATTAACCATGGACTAAAAACTTTCTTTTCTTTGATCATGGTATTCTTCCAAAATGCACAATCCCCAGGGCTCTATTTCTCACCCAATGTAATATTACTCTTTGGCAAAGAATTATCCAGTATATCAAGCCAGAAACTGGCTTGGGATTTTCAGATGAAAGGATTCAGCTAAGTAGCAACCCAAATATAAACAAAGGAAACTAGCCAAAAACACATTAAACATTTAGAATAGGCCCTACTTGATTGATAACCATGTTAGAATAAGCTTCATCTTGAATTATTGATATTAAGGATCTACTGTGAGCAAGATGATCTTGAAGGTACTTTCTAATTGTGAAATATTCTGTGTTATCTATCAGACATAACTGGTGGCTTATCACTACGTGTGTTTTACTAACTACATTTCTGTCTTTCTTTCTAAAAGGAAATAGTTCAACTGTTATCATCATCCAAAGGTGCCACCACTTTTATTTGTTTACCAGATCATCAGATGATACTGGCCCATTACCCTTGACCTAGTCAAACCTCTACAAAAGACTTAATGATGCTATTTAGGATGCATTTCCTTGCTGCTTTGTGCAGGTGGCTTTCGCATTGTTGCATAGATAGTGATGGGAACATCAGTTATCGTCAGGCAATGACTTCCAGGGCATCTTCGCAGTTGCCTGAATTAGAGAAAAAATGACATGTAGTTAGATACTAAAAAAGAAATATTTTTCAGAGCACCAGGGCTTGGGTGTATATTCAACTGTTTTAAATCATTCTGAAGTCTTTGAATGTCACAAAATAAGTATAACATAGTGGTGCTGATGAGGCGAACATTTGAGACTTATGTAACAAAGAAATTGTGGCTGTTGCTAAATATTTAATTACAGAAGATTCAAAAATACAAAGATAATCCTCCAGATGTTCATTTTGAAAGGTATGCACTGATTGCTAAATGGCAAAAAAAAAAAACACCTTGATTATAAACATAAGTAATAATACTATGGCAACTCATATGTATATACACTTTAAAATCACTTTCGTTGAGTGATTTCAAAGCTAGAATATTTGTGGAAAAATATAAAACTAAACCGACATACTATTCAAATGTTGATAGAATCTCGAGATTGAAATAGCCCTTAAATGACACCTAGTCCAAAAACACATTATCTAGTGTATGAATTTCCTTTCCAACATTCCCACCAAATAGCCACCCAGCCTTAAACATTTCTAACGACAAGGAGCTCACTACTTCCCAGAGTAGCCTATTTCAACCTTGAATAGTTCTGATTTTTAAATTGCCTACATTATTAAGCTTAAATTTGTGTTCCGAAAATTTTCAAGCCATGAGAAATCTAACAATGTAGCATCTAATGTTTTACTATGGTAAACAGCATAAAAGTAGAACAAATCCTACCTATTTTAGTTTTCTTCAATTTTGCAAAAAGCTTTGTTTCATGGAATCTTTATATTCTATATTCTCTTTCTACCAAAGGTCAAATCCAAGCCAAAGTGGCACTAAATCTGAAATCTAAGTCTTTTTCGTATTTGTAGCCTTATGCTTAGCACAGTGCCTTGCACATAATAGCACAAAAGGTTTGTTTGCTTAATTTGTTATCTAATCTTTAAACTATCAACAAAATCTAGCTAAAAATGTACCAAAAAGAGAGAAAGAATTGGTATATCATCAAGACTTACAGATATACAAAATATAGACTCTATGCTAAGAAAACCTGGGCTCTATTAATGCTGATTTAATAACAGCAATGTTTTGAATTCCTGGGTTATTTTCTAGTTAATATCAAATATCAGCTAAAGCTTGTATAGACGATAACCAATACACATTTCCTCAGTTTTCAAGATAAGAAGCTTACCTGGTTGGTGACATCTCTTTCCCATTACAGGCAGCACTGGAGCTCAGCTCTGGTTCCAACCCAGTTGAAGAATCTCCTCCTTCCACTGGAAACCTCCTTGGCTGGGTCCCAAACCGAAAAGGCATAATTCACTGAAAACCTAGATTAGAAAGTTAAAATAATGAGGGGTGGAAAGAGTTGTCTTCAAAGAGTTATTTGGAATTTTTAATGTTACTATTTGTTATAGCCATACAAAAATATTCTGAAAATAATATTTTTAAATATTTATGAAAGTGTTAAAATACTATATTCACAGCTATTCCTTCCATACAAGTTTATGTCTTGCAACAAATGCAAAATAGCCACCAGTTGATAAAAGTAAACCATGCCCCATGGTTAACATAACTAAAGTCCATTTCTGCTGTGTGAAAAAAAATTCAGTTTGCCTTTAAACGGCTGTTGCAATCAACAAACTTGAGCCCTTACTCCCATCCCCCACTGCTTCTCACCTATCTACCCTCTTCTCTTCCTTTGATGTACAGAGTTTCACATCCACCAAGACATCTTCAGCTAATCTTTCTGTTCATGGTGATCATTCATTCCCCCCTCTCTCTCTCTACATTTATAGTGCAGTAGTTAAGTGGCCTAACCACTTAGAGATGGACTGACCTAAGTTCAAATTCTGGTTTTGGCCTTTCCTAACTACATGATCTTTGTCAAGGTACTTAATTTCTCTGTATTTCTCAAGGGTAAATTGGGACTAATAATATTATCTACTTCCAGGATAATAGTGAGGATTAAATAAGATAGTGCATGTAAAGTGCAGTGCCTAACACACAGTAATTGCTCAGTAAATGTTAACTATTATTACTCAGCAGATGCTACTGAACATTAGTAAATGTATATAGAAATGTATACATGTATATATGAGATAAATAAAATATATATGATGTATACACAC